CCGGCAGCCCCGGCCCCCTCCCAGCGCCTTTGCATGTTTCCATGGCGAAGGTCCAGCTTTGCATGAGGGCCCCGCCGCACCCCGGGGGACTGAACCGGCCCAAAATAGCCCGCAAAGACACAGCATTAAAAAAACCCCAAAACAAAACAACAACCATTTTGCAGTATCTGCAGAGCAGCGCTGAGCTGGCAGCTTGTTTTGGGTTGTGAGGGCCTGGCCAGCACTGCAGGAAGCTGTCACCTCAGCCCATCTGCACTGAGGTGTGACAGCACCCCAGGCTGGAGCCACCAGCACAGGGTGTGGGGTAGGAAAGTGCTTTGCCCCTCAGGAGGGGAATTTTCCAACCAAGGCTCCCACAGCAGAGCTGGCCCTGGCAGGAGGAAGCTGTTCATCAAACCACTGCCCAAGCCAGGTCTGCACATAACCAGGCTGCGCTTCCTCCATCCCCAGCCCGCAGGAATCGAAACTCGGGGGACACAGGGCAGAGAGTGCGCTGGGGGAGCAGGGACCCCCTAAGAGGAATCAGCAACCGCAATGCCAGCCTGCTCTGCCCAGGCAGAGGGACAAGACTAATGCCAGATGAGCAAAGCCACACAGAGTGCATCTTCCCCACACCCCAAGGGTGAGGAGCACAGCTCACCCAAGGCTGCAGGAAGAGGAGTGCATCCCCCTCACCTCTCCTGGGGGCTGCAGGAAGAGGAGTGCATCCCCCTCACCTCTCCTGGGGGCTGCAGGAAGAGGTGTGCGTCCCCCTCACCTCTCCTGGGGGCTGCAGGAAGAGGAGTGCATCCCCCTCACCTCTCCTGGGGGCTGCAGGAAGAGGAGTGCATCCCCCTCACCTCTCCTGGGGGCTGCAGGAAGAGGAGTGCATCCCCCTCACCTCTCCTGGGGGCTGCAGGAAGAGGAGTGCATCCCCCTCACCTCTCCTGGGGGCTGCAGGAAGAGGAGTGCATCCCCCTCACCTCTCCTGGGGGCTGCAGGAAGAGGAGTGCATCCCCCTCACCTCTCCTGGGGGCTGCAGGAAGAGGAGTGCATCCCCCTCACCTCTCCTGGGGGCTGCAGGAAGAGGAGTGCATCCCCCTCACCTCTCCTGGGGGCTGCAGGAAGAGGAGTGCATCCCCCTCACCTCTCCTGGGGGCTGCAGGAAGAGGAGTGCATCCCCCTCACCTCTCCTGGGGGCTGCAGGAAGAGGAGTGCATCCCCCTCACCTCTCCTGGGGGCTGCAGGAAGAGGAGTGCATCCCCCTCACCTCTCCTGGGGGCTGCAGGAAGAGGAGTGCATCCCCCTCACCTCTCCTGGGGGCTGCAGGAAGAGGAGTGCATCCCCCTCACCTCTCCTGGGGGCTGCAGGAAGAGGAGTGCATCCCCCTCACCTCTCCTGGGGGCTGCAGGAAGAGGAGTGCATCCCCCTCACCTCTCCTGGGGGCTGCAGGAAGAGGAGTGCGTCCCCCTCACCTCTCCTGGGGGCCGCAGAGCCTGTCACCCTCCACCAAACACAGACACCCAGAGAGCCACATCACATTTCAGGGCACCACAAGGAAAGCTGTTGCAGAGCACACAGGCACTGAGCACAAGGCACCCCATGGACTTTCCCCACCCACGTACACAGTGAAGAGCATCTCAGCACAGAGCAGCTCTGGGAAGCCCCGACTGGTGACACAAAACACCTAGAACAGTTTTCCACAGCCCGCAGAGGCTTTCTAATAAGCAAGAGGCTGTGGGGTGCCCCACATGCAGCATCTGTGCCAACAGGCTCACACCAGCAAAGTAGAGCAGGAGCATTTAGCACATCAGCATCTCATTGCAGGAAACAGTGAGTTTTAGACTAGAGGACTGAGAACAAAAGACATTTATTGACAAAACTAAGTGCTTGTTCAGCAAACAAGCCGGCCTGACAATAGCACCATCTTTCAGTTCTCCACTTGGGTTTCCATCAGACATCACTCAGGCTGCAGGTCCAGCACTGTGGACAAGGATGTTCCGCGCTGTGCGGGACCCAGTCCCATAGCAGAGAGCTTCCCAAGAACCAACCGATCCACGGTTTGGAGGGTACAAGGCTGACAAGCCCACTGAAAAGCAATGCTGCCAGCTGGTGACCAGGGACTGAGCCCAGGGCTGGCACTGACAGACTTGCACAAACTGCAGATCCGAGCCAGTGAGTTTTATTCTGCTCCAGAACACTTACATTCAAGCATCAGCTTTGTCCGACTCATGGCTTAGAGGATCAAAATGAAGGGAAGAGAAGGAAGCAACTGATACGAACTTCCACAGCTCCCCACCCACTAGTAGGGCTAGAATAACCAAAAAGATTAAAATAAACAAACATCAACTGTTGCCAGCAAGCTGTGGGCACAATGAGAGTCCACCAGGCCACCGATACTTTTATTGCCACTCGCTGGCAATGTTGCTCAAGTACATCAGAGAAAGGCTCGCTTGTAGTCAAGGCAGGAGAAGGCTTCGTCACAAAAATGCTACTTCACATGAGGAATGAAGTACAGTGCACCCATAAGCAGTTCTACCACATTCAAAATTCCTCCTTTTTGTATCATTAGCTCTGTAAAAATGTACATATTTTACAGATTTATAGATATTTACAGCTTCTCTACAGCCTCCCCAGCCCATGTGGGGTTTTACACACTTACAGATGCACTCCCTATTTTTAAACCGCCTGTGTGTGGAGAGTTGCATCGGTGTAGCCAAGGTCAGCCAGACAGGCCAACGCAGCCAGCTGTGGTTACGGCCCCGAGCCCCACCTCACCTCCCCAGCCCGATGCTCCTCTGCATGCTGGGTGACCTGGCTGGTCCCAGCTGGGAGGGAAGGGGCCATGCAGGGCTCCAGCCCCACCATGTTCTGGCAGCAGGTTGCACATCTTGGCTGCTGGCACGGCTCCACCGCTTCCGGAGGGTGGATGCACGGAGAGCCGGCAGCGGCTGAAGGCCACTCGCCAGCACACCTGGGGGCAGGTGCAGGCTCGCAAAACACCCAACATTCAACACTTCTGCTCCAACAGAAAAGCCACAAGTTTAGGCAGGACACCAGCAGCAGAAGATGCTATTTCCAGAAACCCACAAGCCTGAAACATCTGCTCCACGCACAGCTGCTGTGCCAAGCCCAGGAGGCTTCAGTCCAGACAAGAGTTGCTGGTGCTCACTGGCTTGCTGCTAAGCAGATCAGTTCCCTCAGGGATAAAACTGAAGCAGTCCACTTGAGCTGTCTGTCATCATCCTCTTGAAGGAAGCAGAATATCAATTCTTCCACTTTTTGTTCCCAAAGCAATAAATCCTCATCGGTACCCACAATCTGACTGGATCACACCTTCCTTCTTAGGAAAGGATTGCTCAGGTGATGCCTAGATATTCCCCTTGCATCATTCAAGTCCAGCTTCACAAGTACTCACAGGAGGAAGTGATCAGCTCACAAGCCCCAAAACAGAGCCGGTCCACCCAGAGCTTTGTCCCTCTGCAGCACACCCTGGCTCACCGGATCATGTAGGCCAAGCTTGCCCCCAGTCCAGCCACGCCTGCAAACGCCATCAGTACATTTCTGATGCTGCCTTCTAGGTCCTCGACTCGAAAGAAGTCAACAAAGCCCTCCTAGGAGAAAGAAGGGAAAGTCATTTCCCCGCCAGCCACCCTTCTCTGGCAGGAAGGCATATGGGAAGCCTTTGTCCCCTGGCAGGGCGGGCTGGGCTACAGCCTGCCCAGCACATCCACTGAGTGCACTCCCCCAGGCTCACTGGAGCCACAACCTGCCCTGCAGCAGCAATCAGGAGACAGCACCAGAGCAGCTTCAAGAAAGCTCAGTGCATCTGGGATTGACTCGGCTTTGGGAATGCTGCCCGCTCCGCACTGGGCGGGGGCGCATTTTTAGGTCAAGACTGCTTCAAGCAGAACTCCAGCTAGATGTTTCAGACTGTGGTTTTAACCAGAGCAGTGAGTCATCTCTGCGCTCTGCTGACACACGTGGTTGTCAGTGAGCAGGTCACAGAAATAGGAAAAGACTGGATTGTTCCGAAACGCTCACAGTGTTCAGGACAGGCAGTGACTCACCCAGCCTCCCTGGCTCATGAGCCACTCGCGCTTAGATGAGACAAGCGCGTCCGTGATGATCCCTGCCAGCGAGCTGATGCACTTCTCCTGGTTTATGCTCTTCAGGTGTTTCGCAACAAAGGCACCAAATGAGATGAGCGTCACCACTCGACCCCAGTTTGTTACTCCATCACTGAACATATGGGCAGCCACTTCACACACCGACTGCAGATCTTCCTCTTTCTGGATTTCCAGCTTACGAATTTTTTCAAGAGATGCTGGTTTAGAGGCAGGCATGCACAAGACATCAAATACCTTGCAAGGCCATCAGTGAGAAGATGCAGCCCCTGCACTCTAGGTCCAAAAGCTGTCAGAGTCACTGACGAGTATCAGTGATGGACAGCAAGTACCTGTCTGCTTCTGCAGAGGGCTCTGCTGCTCACATTTGCCTGGGCCAGAGGAAAACCAGCCCATAACCCATTTCTAGTTCCTTCCTCCCCACCTTGGGCACAGCTGCCGTCTCTGTGCACGTCACACTCCCCTATCTCACAAGAGTTTTAAAGCCCCACCATGTCAGAACCAGAGCACAGAAGTCAGTTTGCAGCCTGGCACGAACCCAGCCCCTCGAGCTGAAATGAAAGACAGTCACCTACAGCCAGGCAGATACATGGCCATTTTATTAATGTGGTTTTAGTAACTAGAACAATAGAATCCCCCAGTTTGACCTGCAGTGCCCCCTCATGAATAAGCAAACAAGATAAGCCTTTATGAAACTGAAAGGCACTGCTTGTTGTTGTTCAAACTAACAGGAAGCCTTCCTGGAGCCAGTTCCTTTTCTGCACACATGAAGGTAACCATCCCTACAGAAGCCTCAGATACCAACACCAGCTTGCCTTGCTCTGAACGTTCCTCCCAAGTGTGGCTTGTTCAACAAGCAGGTTTGTGAATTTGGCCAGGGTAACTGAATGCACAGTCTTTTGCATCAGCACAGCCAAGGACACAAGGAAGGAACTGAAGTATTAAAAACAAACAACCAACAACAACAAAACAACCTGGAACATCCTCCTGCAAGAAGAAAGGCGTTTCACCACAAGCCACCTCAGGGGGAAATGCAGACACTACTCTTCTGTGCCAAGCACCATCCTGGTCTAGGATCAGACATGGGGTGACGTGCCAAAAGCAGTCCCAGGATGAGCCCCGAGGCCAGGAGCTTGGCCCCACCACCCCGATGGCTCAGGACAACCTCAAACCAGCTTGTTTCCGAGTTACACAAAATCAGGTCAAAACAGTCAGTTCTCACTTCCAGTCGATTCTCAGGCCACTCTGCAGCGAGGACACTTGCTCATCCAAGCCCAGGCACTGGGGTTCAACAGCTATTCTAAGACTCATCAGAAGTGGGCAAAATACATTAAAATAGCTATAATGTGAGCACATTGTCCGGGAGAATTTATCTCCTGGAAACTCCGTTCCACCTGAGCCAGGGGTGTGAGGAGTTTAAACTCCTGAGCTAACTAATCTTTGGACGCTCAGGATTATTTGCATATAGTCATGCTGAGCAAAGCAGGATGCTAGGAGGAACTGGGGCTAATCTGTAACCAGATTATCTCCTCTGCACACGTTACCAGCGGTTTTTCCACCTCCCAGTCGAACAAAGTTCAGTTTCATTTTTCATCACTTCTCAGCTGTTTTAACTCCCTCGAAAACGGGGTCGCATCCCACCCGGCCCAGAGCTCAGGCACTCGCCCCCCTCCTCCCCTTGCTGGGGGATGTGGGCAGCGAAGCAGCCTCGCTCCAGCCCCAAGGGCCGGCTCCGGCCTGGACCTCCCCAGCCCCCGCCGTGCACCCACC